TAGTGCTGCCTCGACCCCTTCCTCTGCTGCCACGTCTGCTCGCTCCTAAAACATTGCCTCCTCTGCCACTCCTCTGCATGTTGTCTGACATACTCTTTAATTAAACGATTATGTGTCCCTGAGTAACAATTCTGTGTCCCTGAGTAACAATTCTGTGTCTGTGCGAGTAACAATTCTGTGGCCCTAAGTAACAGTTCTGTGGCCCTCAGTAACAATTCTGTGTCCCTGATTAACGTTTTTCTGTGGCCCCAAGTAACAGTTTCTGTGGCCCTCAGTAACAATTCTGTGTCTGTGCGAGTAACAATTCTGTTCTGTGTCTGTGCGAGTAACAATTCTGTGGCCCTAAGTAAAGTTTCTGTGGCCCTAAGTAACAATTCTCTGGCACTCAGTAACAATTCTGTCTGTCCCTGAGTAACAATTCTGGCCCTCAGTAACAATTCTCAAACTCAGTAACAATTCTGTCTGTCCCTGAGTAAAAATTCTGTGGCCCTAAGTAAAGTTTCTGTCTGGGCCCTGAGTAACAATTATTCTGCACTGTCCAGTAAACAATTCTGTCTGTCCCTGAGTAACAATTCTCTGGCACTCAGTAACAATTCTGTCTGTCCCTGAGTAAAATTTCTCTGGCCCTAAGTAAAAGTTTCTGGGGCCCTGAGTAACAATTCTCTGGCACTCGAAGTAACAATTCTGTCTGTGGCCCTGAGTAACAATTCTCTGGCACTCAGTAACAATTCTGTGTCTGTCCCTCGAGTAAAAATTCTGTCTGGCCCTAAGTAAAGTTTCTGTGGCCCTGAGTAACAATTCTCTGGCACTTGTGATCTGCCGTAACAATTCTGTCTGTCCCTGAGTAACAATTCTCTGGCACTCAGTAACAATTCTGTCTGTCCCTGAGTAAAAATTCTGTGGCCCTAAATAAAAGTTTCTGTGGCCCTAAGTAACAATTCTCTGGCACTCAGTAACAATTCTGTCTGTCCCTGAGTAACAATTCTCTGGCACTCCGTAACAATTCTGTCTGTCCCTGAGTAACAATTCTCTGGCACTCAGTAACAATTCTGTCTGTCCCTGAGTAAAATTTCTGTGGCCCTAATTAAAGTTTCTGTGGCCCTAAGTAACAATTCTCTGGCACTCAGTAACAATTCTGTCTGTCCCTGAGTAACAATTCTCTGGCACTCCGTAACAATTCTGTCTGTCCCTGAGTAACAATTCTCTGGCACTCAGTAACAATTCTGTCTGTGGCCCTGAGTAAAAATCTGTGCCCTAAGTAAAGTTTCTGTGGCCCTGAGTAACAATTCTCTGGCACTCCCGTAACAAATTCTGTCTGTCCCTGAGTAACAATTCTCTGGCACTCAGTAACAATTCTGTCTGTCCCTGAGTAAAAATTCTGTGGCCCTAATTAAAAGTTTCTGTGGCCCTAAGTAACAATTCTCTGGCACTCTAAGTAACAATTCTGTCTGTCCCTGAGTAACAATTCTCTGGCACTCCGTAACAATTCTGTCTGTCCCTGAGTAACAATTCTCTGGCACTCAGTAACAATTCTGTCTGTCCCTGAGTAAAAATTCTGTGGCCCTAATTAAAGTTTCTGTGGCCCTAAGTAACAATTCTCTGGCAACTCAGTAACAATTCTGTCTGTCCCTGAGTAACAATTCTCTGGCACTCGCTACTCGTAACAATTCTGTCTGTCCCTGAGTAACAATTCTCTGGCACTCAGTAACAATTCTGTCTGTCCCTGAGTAAAAATTCTGTGGCCCTAAAGTAAAGTTTCTGTGGCCCTGAGTAACAATTCTCTGGCACTCCGTAACAATTCTGTCTGTCCCCTGAGTAACAATTCCGTGGCCCTAACTAGCGTTTTCTTTGTCCCTAAGTAACAGTTTCTGTGGCCCTCAGTAACAGTTCTGTGTCTGTGCGAGTAACAATTCTGTGTCTGTGCCTAAGTAACAATTCTGTGGCCCTAAGTAAAGTTTCTGTGGCCCTAAGTAACAATTCTCTGGCACTCCGTAACAATTCTGTGTCCCCTTCCCTGAGTAACAATTCTCTGCACTCAGTAACAATTCTGTCTGTCCCCCTGAGTAAAAATTCTGTGGCCCTAAGTAAAGTTTCTGTGGCCCTAAGTAACAATTCTCTGGCACTCCCGTAACAATTCTGTCTGTCCCTGAGTAACAATTCTCTGGCACTCAGTAACAATTCTGTCTGTCCCTGAGTAAAAATTCTGTGGCCCTAAGTAAAGTTTCTGTGGCCCCAGAGTAACAATTCTCTGGCACTCCGTAACAATTCTGTCTGTCCCTGAGTATGAATTCTGTGGCCCTAACTAGCGTTTCTTTGTCCCTAAGTAACAGTTCTGTGGCCCTGAGTAACAATTCTGTGTCTGTGCGAGTAACAATTCTGGCTGTGGCCCTAAGTAACAGTTCTGTGGCCCTCAGTAACAGTTTTGTGTCTGTGCGAGTAACAATTCTGTGTCTGTGCGAGTAACAATTCTGTGGGCCTAAGTAAATTCTGTGGCCTTCAGTAACAATTCTGTGTCTGTGCGAGTAACAATTCTGTGTCTGTGCGAGTAACAATTTCTGTGGCCCTAAGTAAAGTTTCTTGTCTGTGGCCCTAAGTAACAATTCTCTGGCACTCAGTAACACAATTCTGTCTGTCCCTGAGTAACAATTCTCTGGCACTCAGTAACAATTCTGTCTGTCCCTGAGTAAAAATTCTGTGGCCCTAAGTAAAGTTTCTGTGGCCCTGAGTAACAATTCTCTGGCACTCCGTAACAATTCTGTCTGTCCCTGAGTAACAATTCTCTGGCACTCAGTAACAATTCTGTCTGTCCCTGAGTAAAAAAATTCTGTGGCCCTAAGTAAAGTTTCTGTGGCCCAGAGTAACAATTCTCTGACACTCCCAATTCTGTAACAATTTTCTGTCCAGTAACAATTCTCTGGCCCTGAGTAACAATTCTGTCTGTCCCTGAGTAAAGTTTCTGTGCCCTAAGTAACAGTTCTGTCTGGCCCTGAGTAACAATTCTGTGTCTGTGCGAGTAACAATTCTGTGGCCCTAAAGTATAGAGTAACAGTTCTGTGGCCCCAGTAACAGTTCTGTGTCTGCAGTGTGCGAACAATTTCTGTGTCTGTGCGAGTAACAATTCTGTGGCCCTAAGTAACAGTTCTGTGGCCTTCAGTAACAATTCTGTGTCTGTGCGAGTAACAATTCTGTGTCTGTGCGAGTAAACAATTCTGTGGCCCTAAGTAAAGTTTCTGTGGCCCTAAGTAACAATTCTCTGGCACTCAGTAACAATTCTGTCTGTCCCTGAGTAACAATTCTCTGGCACTCAGTAACAATTCTGTCTGTCCCTGAGTAAAAATTCTGTGGCCCTAAGTAAAGTTTCTGTGGCCCTAAGTAACAATTCTCTGGCACTCAGTAACAATTCTGTCTGTCCCTGAGTAACAATTCTCTGGCACTGAGTAACAATTCTGTCTGTCCCTGAGTAAAAATTCTGTGGCCCTAATTAAAGTTTCTGTGGCCCTAAGTAACAATTCTCTGGCACTCAGTAACAATTCTGTCTGTCCCTGAGTAACAATTCTCTGGCACTCAGTAACAATTCTTCTGTCTGTCCCTGAGTAACAATTCTGTGGCCCTAATAACGTTTCTGTGGCCCTAAGTAACAATTCTCTGGCACTGAGTAACAATTCTGTCTGTCCCTGATTATGAATTCTGTGGCCCTAACTAGCGTTTCTTTGTCCCTAAATAACGATTCTGTGGCCCTCATTAACAAGTCTGTGTCCCTGAGTAATGGTTCTCTGTCCCTAAGTAACTTTTCTCTGTCCCCAATTATCGTTTCTGTGGCCCTAACTCTGTCCCTGTCCCTAGTACAGAGCGGTCTGCCTCTGTTCAATAACTGCAGGCAAATGAAGAATTCCAAAATGGCCGCTATTTATAGCTCGACCATTACACAGTGCTGGCTGGCTGGCTGCTGATAGGCTGATGCGATCACATGTAGTTGAGGAATGCATTATGGGTCAGCGCGCCTTGTCTGCGCGCCTTCCCAGACATCCCCGCTCCGTCGCCGCACATGTCAGCCGCCATTTTCTGAAAAATTTCGATTCGCGCGTCCGAATTAGGCTATTTTTCGGATTCGGCACGAATCGAAATTTTTCCGATATTCGACTCGAATTCCACTTCGGATACTTCGATTCGCTCATCTCTAGTTATAACCCTCCCTTGCTGTATCCAAAATGAAAAAAAAAATGTTTTGCCTAAAGTTCTACTTTAACCACTAGCCTACAGGGCACTTATACCTCCTTCCTGCCCAGGCCAATTTCCAGCCCTCAGCGCTGTCACACTTTGAATGACAATTGCGCGATCATGCAACACTGTACCCATATGAAAATTTTTTATCATTTTTTTGTGACCGATAGAGCTTTATTTTGGTGGTATTTAATCACCTCTGGATTTTTTCTTTTTTCTTAAACAAACTAAAAACCACTGAAAATTTTGAAAAAAACAAAACGTTTTTTCTTAGTTTTTGTTATAAAATGTTGTAAATAAGTGATTTTTCTCCTTCACTGATGTGCGCTAATGAGGCTGCAGTGATGGCCACTGATAAGATGCACTGATGGACACTAATAGGTGGCACTGATGAGGAGGCACTGGTAGGTGGCACTGATGGGCATTGACAGGCATCACTGATGGGCACTGAAAGGCAGCACTGATATATGGCACTGATAGGCGGCACTGACTGGCACTGATAGGCGGCACTGACTGGCACTGTTAGGTGGCACTGACTGGCACTGTTAGCAGGGGCGGACTGACAACTCATGGGGCCCCCGGGCAATAGGGGATCATGGGGCCCCTGTGTCCTTGCCCAAACTCAAAAAAGCCTAGAAAAAGGTACCAGGGGCATCTCATGGGGCCCCCTACTGACCCCGGGCCCTCGGGCAGTGCCCGACTTTCCAAATGGTCAGTCCGCTCCTGACTGTTAGGTGGCACTAACTGGCGGTGATAGGCGGCACTGACTGGCACTGATAGGCGGCACTGACTGGCAATGATAGGTGGCACTGATTGGCATTGATAGATGCCACTGACTGGCACTTATGGGTGACACTGAAAGGCAGCTCAGATGGGCACTGATGTGCACTGGTAGGCACTGATATGTGGCATTGATGTGGCACTGATGGGCACTGGCAGGTGGCACTGTTCAGCACTGACAGCTGGCACTGATGGACACTGACAGGTGGCACTTCTGGGGCCACACTGATCATCAGGGCACACTGATTATCAGTGCCATGATGATCTGTGTACCTGTCCCCTCTGCGGAATGCCGATTACCGGCTCTCCTCTCCTCTCAAGCTGTCAGCGTAACAGCTCGAGAGGAGAGAAATGCCGATAACCGGCATTTCCCTGTTTACATGTGATCAGCTGTAATTGGACACAGCTGATCACATGACCGAGCCGACATCTTCAGCTCTTTCTGTGGATCAAGGGACACAGCGCACCGCCGATCGCCAAGCGCTCCCTAAGCCGCGCATGCGCGGTGAGAATGGAAGGACGTCATATGACGTCCTATCAGAACAAGAGAACCACCTTGCGCTCGTCATTGGACTATATGGCGGGCGGGAGGTGGTTAAATCTGGCTTAGGTTACCCTCCCATGCCACAAACCATTCTATATAATACTGTTTAACCATTTGCCCTCAGAGGATTTACCCCCCTTCCTGACCAGGCCATTTTTTGTGTTACAGCACTGCATTACTTTAACTGACAATTTGCGGTCATGCAACGCTGCGCCCAAATGAAATTTACATCCTTCCCACAAATAGAGGTTTCTTTTGGTGGTATTTGATTGCCTCTGCATTTTTTATTTTTTTGCGCTATATAAAAAAAAATGCTCACCCTATAGCCAAATCAAACAAGTGCTAAACTAAATAAACTATGCATAAAGGTATAAATCAATTGAATCAAGTACATATAATACTATATATAGTAAGACTTATATGCTTTCAGGGGATAGGTTTATATGTTTATTTGAGATACCGTCTTTAATTCAGTAAAAAAAAAAAAAGACCAACAATTTTGAGAAAAAAAACAATATTTTTGACTTTTTGATATTAAACATGTCCAGTACAGGGGCCCCCTGTCAGGGAGCGAGGAGCCAGACACACAAGGAGGTGCAATTAAAGGTAGGTTTAATAACATAAAAATAAGACAAGAGTCTATGCAAGTCCCAACAGCAGAACTCTTAGCCAAAGCCGGGATCAAGAGCCAGGAAAAATCGTCGCCAGAGCCGGGATCAGGAGCCAGGAAGAATCGTCACCAGAGCCGGGATCAGGAGCCAGGAAGAATCGTAACCAGAGCCGGGATCAGGAGCCAGGAAGAATGGTCGCCAGAGCCGGGGTCAGAAGCCAGGAGGAGTCTTAGCCAAAGCCGAGTCGGTATCCAGGAAAGCAATGAGTAGCTAAACAGGAGAGCTTGCTGTTGTGCAAGAGACAGGACATGAATGCAATGGGCAGCTGCAAACAGCAGATTTATATGTGATGAGCCGCCACCTCCTGGGGGAGGAGCCTCAGAGGGCTGAAAGCATAAAGGATCCCACAATGCTTTGCAGACACCTAAGATTGATGCCAGCACATGGAGCAGCACAAGCCCTGAGGAAAGGTAGGACCTTGACACCCCCAGGCAATAGGGGATCATGGGGCCCCTGTGTCCTCGCCCGCACTCAAACCACACCCAAAAAAGCCTATGAAAGGTACCAGGGGCATTTCACGGGGCCCCCTACTGACCCCGGGCCCTTGGGCAATGTCAAGTGCCAGAATGGTCAGTCCGCCCCTGGTCCAGTAAAAAAATTAAAAAATCAATCGTCATAAATTTAGGCCAAAATGTATTCTGCTACATGTCTTTGCTAAAACAAAATCCCAATACATGTAAATTAATTGGTTTACGTGAAAGTTATAGCATTTACAAATGGCGGTATATATACTGGATTTTTTTTATTTTTTGTTTTTACTAGTAATGGCGGCAATCAGCGACTTATAGCGGGACTGCGGGACTGCGGCAGGGATTCTGACACTGGGGGGAACTGACTTGGTGTCACTGACATCCCCAGTGACACCAACACAATGATCAGTGCTAATGAAAAGCACTGACACTGTACTAATGGTACTCGGCAAGAAGGGGATAACATGTGGAGAAATCAAAGGGTTAACTGTGTGCTGTTTTACATGATGTTCTGTGTTTTTGCTTCACTGTAAGAACACTGCTTTGGATGGCTCTGCTATGCAGAGCCATGCAAAGTAGTGTGCAGGAGCTGACAGGGGAGAGATCTGTATTGTTTACTTACAATTCTCTCCCCCGTCGGAGATTCTCGGCAATCACCGGGTGCCGGCGAGTAATTACCAGACAGGACCAGCTCGCACGCGCCCCATACCCGGTAATGCAAAATCGCGTATATATACTTCTGCTATAGGGCAGACTGGAAGCGGTTAAAAATCACAATTGAGGTGCAGCTTATTGTCATGTAATCTTTCATACTCTGTTTTAATTTGTGATGCTTACACAGTTATGTAAGGAAATTCTTTCTAAGTTTTTAGTACTGATTTATGTGATAAGAACAATTCCTGATGTATGATAGTTGCGGTATATCCAGCACTAAATATTATTTTAAAAGAATCACTCACTTTTATTGTAGAACTCTGTCTAATAAAAGATAAATGAAATGGTATTACAATGTATACGTTTATTAATGTATTTTGGGGTCACATATCACGTTGCCTAAGGTAAAATGTAAATTTTTATTTCAGACCAATTCAATACAGAGGAGCCTTGGTAGTACACAGTAGCCACTAGGCTGGTAAAAAGAAAGTCTGATTAGTTGCTGTTGATATCTGCATTTTACTCTTTGCTTTACTGAATAAATTGGCTAATTAAACTACCTTTTTTACTAGTGCAGATCATATTGGGTGCCTCTGTATAGGAAATTAGAAGCCAGTAAATGTACTCAGACAACTTAAAGCTGAAGGAAATTGTAAATCCATTAGGTAAATAAAATATTTTTCTACCATAGCAACAAAGCTACCAGATCACGAATGTCCCCTTCCTGTTTGACCTTATGGAGTATTAGGAACAGGGACATAAATGAATGGCATATTTTAGTAGGAAGCTGAGGTCTTTTTACACATTAATATTAAAATATGTGGATGTGATATAAAGCTCTTTGCAATATTATTGTCTTATGGAAAGAAATGTGACATATATTAACTCAGAATGTACTATTATCTGATTATAAACAACTTACCTTGATTGATTTATGTATGTAATAGCCCATTTCATAGTACCCAATGTACACGGTTTGATTTCTCGGTGTAACAAATCAATGTGTTTTTCAAATAAAGTGAGAAGAGTGCCTATAGATGAATGTTCTGAGCCCCAAGAATATACAGCATGTAGTTGAAGAGCAAAGCCCCAAACCCCTTCTGGAATAGATGCATTTACACCTTGTGGACTAGACACATTTCATCTAGATACATTTTAATTATTTTTTTAGTCCGTATTCACATAGTCCTGACATTGTTAGGCTGATTTATTAAAGTAGCTGAAGTTCTTCATTTAAAAATTGGGTGAATATTGCAATTATCCAAAGTGGAAAGCAAACTCTTTTTCGCTTTGAATAACCAATCATGTGTTCGTGAATAAACAGGTGGCGCACACACCTAGTGCATTATCCAAGGTTTATTGAAAGGAGTGAAAAATAAAAACATACTCACAGACGAAGCATGTATCTAAAAAGCATTTGCATAATGACGTTGGCCACAACGGCAAGCAAGGTGTTCCAACTGTCAGTGTGGTCAAATAGATGACGTGTTTCGGGGACGAATCCCTTTCCTCAGAGCTACTGACCAGCCTCTGATGCAGATGTGTAGTGGATGGATGATGGGAGCCTTGCTGGTGATGCCACAAACTGTTTCGATTCGTCCCCGAAACGCATTGCTTGCCATTGTGGCCATAGTCATTATGCAAATGCTCTTCAGATACATGCTTCGTCTGTGAGTATGTTTTTATTTTTCACTCCTTTCCATAAACCTTGGATAATGCACTAGGTGTGTGTGCCACCTGTTTATTCTCTATCTAATGGCTGATCTCCCCGTCTGAGGAGGGCTGCACCCCTGAAGCATTTCCTTTGGTTGTCACTGTCCTGGTTCCCTTTGCTTCCCTTTTGGCTGTGCATATCCTGAGGTGCTGGAGAGTACATACGACATCCGACCCAATCATGTGTGGATGATTTTAAGATAATTGCATAATTGAAGTGAATATTAATACAATTATTTGAGTGAAGATCCTCAACTCTTTGAGTAAATCTGCCCAATTGTATTACCCAATCCTTTACAGAGTACATAGAACCATTCACATTGCTCTATGCTCAAGACAAGCTTGCTGCCTAATGACCCTACAAGCACCCACTGAGACATATCCTAGAGCCAATCTATTTAGAAGCTAATTAACCTACTGCTTTGTTTTGGACTGTGGGAGGAAACCCATGTTAACATGGAGAGAGCATATATTTTTTTACAGTTGCAATTTATACTTTTTTGTAATAAAGGTACAACTAATATAAAAAACAGTAGACCACAGCAACTTTAATTAACATACTTAGTAAGAAACAAAAACATACTGTCAGCTTATCAGCTACCGTAGAGTTAATATATATATTACAGTAACCATTACAGTCAGCTTTCACTGTATACAATCACATTATTTAAGCTATCAAATTCTACCCAAAGCATTATCCCTCTACCCCATTAAATATAAAGGGTGTCAATCTGCAATAATAACAACTGCTGTTACTAAAAGGTCTTTTGCTGCCATTTTCAACGACAAAGGCTCCTGTGTGAGTAGGAGGTATAAGTCATACGTAGTCATTAGGGATGAGATTAGGTTCAGTACTGGAAGGCAGCTGTCAGTACTGGAAGGCAGCTGTCAGTACTGGGCCAATGAGCTACAGGCGTGGTATTCCCCACCCAGCAGCTGCACATACACAAAGGAGTGGGGATGCTTATTACATCATTGACCTAATTGACCACATGGCCACATTAGGTCAATGACATATTCGGGTTTATTTACTAAAGCTGGAGAGTGAAAAATCAGGCTCACTTCTGCAGAGAAACCGATCGGCTTCAAGGTGTTATTGCCAAAGCGTAATTGAACATGCTGAGGTTAGAAGCTGATTGGTTTCAATGCAAAAGTGAGCCTGAGTTTGCACTCTCATAAACCCCATTAGGTCATATTAGGCCATATGTGGTCAATGATGTCACAAGCATCCCCACCTCTTTGTGTATGTATATACAGAGCTGGGAATCCCCCCCCCCAGCTCATTAGAAGCTGTCCTCTGGGTTTGGTTCCCTATTGCTCATTTCTTTGCAATAGAC